AATTTTTGTTCTATTTCTTCTACATCTGTAAGCATATATTGTTTTTCTTCATATTTTTTCCCTTTTGTTATTTTCCTATTGAGTTATCCTAAAATCTTGGGGTGGATTAATTATAATCCTATCTTTTCCTTTAAGGTTTTTATCTAATAGAGCATTTCCCACTTGTAGATTATATTCTATATTTTTCTAATCTTTTGTGTATATCCTCAAAACTTTCATTTGTAGTATTTTTAGGTAAATAGGGATAACTAGGTTTTTTATGTTTTTCAACTTTTTTCAAAAATTCTTCAATTATATTTTCTTCATCTACTATATTTATCATAATTTTTTGTTCGTAACATGGTTCTGATACCATTTCATCGGAGTGTGCAACGGAGGGGTTAAGACTTTTGAGCCAATTAAAATCTTCATATGTATTTAAAATATCACAATAAAATTTATAAAATTCACTATTTTTTATTAAAACTTTTTCTTCAATAATTATGTTTAGTTCTTTAATTCTTCTTCTTAGATTGAGAATTAATTTATACATATCATTTTCTGTTTTGATTGTTCTATTATCTATAGAAACATTTTTATTTTTTAATTTTGGATCTAAATATTCTGTAAAGAAACCTTTCAGATCTTCTTCTAAATATTTAAATTCATTTTCTGTTGCGTTTTTTAGATCAATAAAATTTTGTATAATATTTGGGTTTAAATTTATTAAAGATTTTTTATCTATATTTCTTTGAGGTCCTAATTGAAGGTTTTTATACATTGTAGTGGCTTTGGTTGCAATTTCTCAATAAGGGGTATTTTTGGAAAAATTATTGTTCAAAGGCTATTCTTTAAATGTTTATATTTTTTGGTCTAATCTTACAAAACTTCCTTTTATTTAGGCTATCTATAGGTATTTCCTCCACAATATTAGACTGGCTTGTTAAAATAACTCCTACACTACTAAGGTGTGAAGTACAAATCCAAAGGATCTTTTCAATTTCCATCACTGCAATTCACTATTGGAGTGCTAACAATATTTCGTCAATTTAAAAATAGGAAGATCCAGGAACAATACAATATTAACTCAATTTGTGACTATTCCCTTAAAAAAATTTACTCTGCAATGTCGATACTTTTCAATTTGTGATGTTAATAATCTAGCGACTTTCAATTAGCCAGATTTCGATAATGGAATTGAGATTATTTGTTCTAGAGAGGTCTTTGTAACTTTTCTCTTTTGTTCAACCATCACAATTTGTTAAATTGGGTCTTCTTTGAATGTCGAAACTAAATACTTAATTTTAGGATGAATATTTATTAAAATTTAATATGACACTTATTGTACCTATTTTCTATATTCAAGCCCAACACGGTGGCCTGATCCATTTAATACTACAATCATTAAGGACAAAGCCACTTCTACATCATGCTTGACATCATCTTTATTGGCAAAGATCTGATTAGTGAAAAAAGGGGGGGAAAAACTGTTCATTCATAAATTGACACGTGGAAAAGTGTAAGTATGATTGCTTAAAAATTAATGCTATGTAGTACCATTAGTAAATGACAGACTAAATAAAATGTGAAATTAAATAAATTATTTAAATTTATTTATTATTAAATGTCACATTAATGCCATCTAAATTAAGATCATAAGAACTAAATAGCATTGCTCATCTTTAATAGTTTTTAAACACAGCGGTAATAAGTGACCACACACACGCTCTCTCTGTAGAAATCAGCATTGTCAGGAATTCGGGATTCAGCATTTGAATACACGCTTTTATGTGAGTTTTCCAATTCTTAATGCATTTAAGAATGGCGTAATCTGGAAAGAGTGAATTATGATTGCGGAAGAAGGCTGTATCTTATGTTTGCACTCCAAGTGTTCAACCATTTGTTTAAGAGAATTTTAAATACATAAAAAATGTTGATCTTTTCACAACTGCATAAATTTCACAAACTTGTGCTCATCAATAGAAGCGGGGGGTTTAAAGCATCGTTGGGTTACACGTGGGTCCAAATTATGCACAAAACAACTGGAGGAAGAAAACCCAAGAAGAAAATTTATCATAGAGTGCACGAGCTGGACAGAGTAATGGAGCTCCAGAAGAAACCATCTCTTATTTTACAGCTCAAGTCCATCATCCAATCCCAGAAAAAGGAGTCTCTTTTACTAAGAGACCTTGAAAAAGAAGTTGGGTTTGTGCAGAAATGGAATTATATGGCTGTCATTGAAAAATACCCATCCATTTTCGTCGTTATTGGTGGCAAAATTGACAAGTCACCACCTGCAGTTATGCTTAGCGAGAAGGCAAAAAAGATTGCAGATTTGGAAGCTGAAGCAACGGTGCAAATGGAACCCATTTTGGTTAAGAATTTGAGGAAGTTATTGATGCTGTCAGTTGACTGTAGGGTGCCTTTAGAAACAATTGAGATGATTGGGAATGAGATGGGGTACTGCATACTAAACATGTCCAGACATTCTGGTAGGATTCAATTGTTACCTGATTTGTTGTGGCTTGTATTACTCCAATTGGCAATGTGAAGAAGAAAGCAATTGAACAGGCTGATAGGAGTCCCCACCATGGGAGCTGGAGTTGTTTGCCAAAACCTTCGCATGCTAACAGCGCAAGAGCGAACACTACAGCTAGTATCACATAAAACCACCAGTCAGGAACTGCTGCATAGTTCTTCTTCATTATTCTTGTGTGCACGTCCCCTTTTTCCGTCTTTGCTTTGCTCCAGAATTCCCAAATTGTTCTGAATATCACATTTTTCATCAGTAAAATTATCAAAAACTTTCTGCCAGAATCTGTAATATGAAATCAGATTCATAAGTAATTAACTTACGATCCATGGAAAAGTCCCACATGTGAGATAGTAGCAGCTAGGCTGGCAAAGCCAAGGCCATAAGTGAAGGCAAAGAAAACGCTAAGATAGAGTTTGCTGTAACTTTCAAATCCAGCTACATCAAGGTCAAACGTTTTCTTATCCAAAACACGCGAAATATTGTAAATATTTCCTGTATAATCATACTTGTGGGAGGAGAAGATAGGAAACTTCTTGGCCTCGTATGCATTGAGCCAGTAAACAAGGGGAATTAAAACATACATTACCAGGAAAAATCCCACAAGGGTATTAATAATTGCGAATGCGGGTGAAGATATAGGATTGCTTATGAAACTAACAATAGAAGACCAGTCTAAAGCGAACGAACCAATTCCCAGTCCATGTAGACCTGACCCGAGTTGTTGCGCAAATATGGATTTCTTCCAAATCAAACAGAGGACAGAAATGGCAGATAATGAAGGGAATAAATAAGCTGGAATTATGTAATAAGCAAAGCTGCACACAAAAACTGTCAAGAAGAATTGTAGTCTGGTAAGTCCTCCCTTTGGTCTTTTTTCCCTTTCATGTAATGCTCTGCAAAATTTCCCAACAGGCAATGAAGTTAGTTCTTTTCTTAATGGAAACTTAATGTAAAAGAATTGGATGTCAAGTACCTGAATAGGGACACCTGAATCATGTTTTCAGGCCACCACATATATGGGGAGTCCACTAGGGTGTCCCTAAATATACCAGCCCACCCATATCCCAGCAACTGAAATAAATCAAATGGACTAGATTATTTGTCATTTGAACATCGATCCATCTCGTCTAGAAGTTTGAGTTGTTCTGAAGACGACAAACTTTGTCATCACGTACCTGTGTAGTGTGAGACAGAAACCATGCCGCCAATGGATGAAGTTGCCGGTGATAGAATGCCTTAACAATGGTGATGATACTCACAGCATAAACACCGGCATCACCACACCCAGCAAATATTGTGATAAGAACATGTTCTTTGAGATTAAAGGGTCCTGGATTCAACGAGAACGACCACGTCGTAAATGGCACATGAAATGTTTTCGTAGGAAGAGTGGATGCCATCAACCTTCCGATAGGGAGAGTGATAATCTGTGCTGTCACAGAAGAAATGTACAGGCTGTTCTGTCGATAGCCGAAGAACTGGTTCAGGAATGCAAGCATAATGCATGACAACAAGCCGAGAAACCATGTCCTGAAAGTCAGGACTGGAAGGGAGGGATCGTCCGTGGGTGAAACCGTTAGCCGCACTTGCTCGATCGGGCAATCATTTTCTTCTTCAGTTACTGCATGAACAGGTAAAACAAAAAGATTTAGAGACTTGAAGACGAAAGGAAATCTCTAAAAAACCCTCAAATTTGTTGATGCTCATGAATGCATAATATTAGAATTTTATTAAAATCGAAAGCATTCTTTCAATCCAATCCCACTTTTCATTGAAATCTTTTCTTCGTATACTGCGTCATAATGCAAATACCATTTTAAAGATGCAGAAAATGGAAAAGATTTTTATATACCATACCATGTATATCAAGATTTGCATGAGGCCTCTCCGGTGACACAGACTGATTAGGTACTGCATCGCCACCGCGGCTGACCATTCTTGGCTTTTCCGACGAGCAAACTATCACTTTGAATACTCAGACTCCTGAAGGTTAAATGTAACCTTCAGTGCGTGAAAACGCTTAGTTTCTTGAGACTAATTCTGCATTCTATGGTTCTTATTTATGTTGCTAACAACTCCATGCACTTTCAATCCTCTAAATTTGGGAAGAATTGCAAGAATTCAAGCGAATGATTTATTCCTAATTACTAGGCAATGAATATGGTTTAAAATCCTTAACATGTTCCAGTTTTTTCTTAACTGGCAGTGTGATTTCTTTTCTTGATTTAACATAAAATTCGAGATCGTGTAACATAGAAGATTCTATTAATTATTCATTGAACTGGATTCTAGCTGGAAGAATATTCATTTTTTTTTAATTTTTTTTAAGAATATTACGATGATAAAACGTATAAATTCAACTGAGAAAGTAAATATACAGTAAATCATTGGGAAATTGTGTGAATATTTTCTTATGATCTATTATACATATATTTTGTAATTTGTACGTAGAAGATTATTGAAATATAGGTGTAATTAAAATAAGGTTTACAATATTAGGAATCCGAATGGACCAATGTATAAATTCAATTGAGAGAGTAGATATACACGAGTAAGAATACGGATGGACCAATGTATAAATTCAGGTCCTATTTGGTACCTATTTTTCTAAGAATGGGAATGAAAAATATACCTTTTACGGGACCCACAAAAAAGATAGAAAGTCAAATATGATAACTTGATGTGATGTATAGCGATCATATTTTTCATTTTTGTGGCCAAAGAATAGGAACCGAATGGGGGCTTAATTGACTTTGGGAAATCGTGAGAATATTTTCTTTTCATTTATTATGCATATATGTTGCAATTTGTACCTAGAAGATTATTGAAATATAGGATGCAATTAGAATAAGGTTTACAATATTTTATTGGTAGTCCGGATGGAACAATTGATAAAAGTGCACAATTAATTTATCTGCAATGTTTAAAAAGTAAAGATTGAGAAAAAACTTTTGAATACCAATTTTTCCCTTCTATATTTAGCTATAAGCCCAATGAGGAATGCTACAGAAATAGACTGAAAAACAGGTTTAAAAGCAAGTTGTACATGTGTCGATACATGATTGAAGAGTTAAGAAAAAAACCAACAACTTGCTGCCACATCAGTCGGCTTTTTATTTCCTGTTTTTTTTTTAGCCTATCTGTTTATCATTTTCCAAGTCCAATATACCCTCACTTGATGTTTCCCATTTTGCCTTGAATAATTCTAAGTGTACATAATTTGATTTATCTACTCTCACAAGCACGTGGATCTCGCGTGAATAAAATAATCCTAACATGTGGTCTCCACACCCCTATTGTGAGTGTATGTGAAGTATTAAGTAAAAAAAATTAGGTACATCTAGCATGCTCATTTTGCCTTATACTATTTGTTTTTTGGTCAACTGTTCCCTCATTCAATTCTCATTATTTACATTAATAAATTTTGAATACCAATTTTTCCCTTCTATATTTAGCTATAAGCCCAATGAGGAATGCTACAGAAATAGACTGAAAAACAGGTTTAAAAGCAAGTTGTACATGTGTCGATACATGATTGAAGAGTTAAGAAAAAAACCAACAACTTGCTGCCACATCAGTCGGCTTTTTATTTCCTGTTGTAGATTAATGTTATTATTTTCAAAAAATTAATACAATTAATTTTCACTAAATGCTAGTAGGGTGTATTCATTTGGACTTTTGAAAATTTTGATGGATTTTTTCGAAGTGATAATTTCTTTAAATTTCGTGGATTTTTTTATAGAGTTGTATGAAACTAGTAGATGACTTTCATAGGCTTCTATGAACTTTTATTTTAAAATTTTTATAGGCTTTTGGAGAATTTAGAAGATTTTAAAAACTTTCATTTGAAATAGAATTTACGTGAATCTAGTAAAATAATATGAAATTCTCATATACGATGTATTGGTTCCCACAATTCTTCTTCTTCTTCTTCCCCTACCTATTCCCATATAATAATAAAAAAAATTAAGAGAATAAAAATTTAAGATCTTAATTAAATAAATAATAATCAGTAAAAAATAATTTTAATATTCAATATTATTAATATAATATATCTTTAAAGAACAAATAAAAAATCAATTTATTTAAATTTAATTATAAATATGTCTATATAAAATTTTATAATTTAATTAAAAATAGATCTTTTCACAAAAAAAAAAAAAATGAATGACAAAATAAAAATAAAATTTATAAGAATCTAATTAAAATTTTCTTAGAAAATAGAGATAAATAATAAAAAAGAAAAAAAGAAAAATAGAAATAAATAAAATCAATAGAAAAATGAAAATTCTATTCATAACTTTAATATTCGTAAAAGGAAAAAGGGAAGAAAATATTGAAAAACATTAATTAATTTATTTTCTTTTTTTTAATTGTGAAAGTCTCCTAGAATTCTTGTGATTAACAAGAAACAAATTTTGAGATTTTATTTTAATATTTTTCGCTTAAAGGTTAGTACTCTAACGACTTTAATAAAAGTCTAAATCATTAAAATTCAAATATTCTAAAACTTATAGAGATCTAAATCATTAAAATTTAAATATTCTAAAACTTATAGAGACTTTTAAAAGTTTGGAATACATTGTGACTTAGGGGTGTTTTAAAAGTATATAAAAATTTCAATTGAATATACTTTTTAAATCCCAATAAATCATTAAAAGTCTCGATTGAATATGTCTCCTTAATTATTACTCTACGATTAATAAAAAATTATTAAAATTAGGAATGCAATTTAAATATTTAGTGTTGTTGAGCCCAGCTTTTTAGAATAGATTTTGTAAAAAATAAAAATAATTTTTTAAAGAATGTGTGAATAAAAATAAGAAAAAATTTAAGTTTTATGTGCAAAATGAATAATAAAGAGAACGTAGTCGAAAATAAATTTGCAAAAAATTGAGTTTTAAAAATAGGATCCAAACAGGCTTATTAAGAAACGTATTATTGCATATTAAAAATCATATTGCATTTACTCATGACGTGAATGACTATAAATTCCTGAAAAATCCATTGAAAATAAAATTCACTCAATAGTCTAAAAAATCGTTAATTTACATTCATTTGATAAGATATAAGATGAAAAGTCATTTTCTAATACTTCATCATTAATTTATATACGAGATGAATAATTATTTTTCATAAATCATTAATTATTTTATCATCATATCATATTGTGCAGTTTCACTGTCTTCTCTAAAACTAAGCTAAAAATCTGTAAATTCGTATGACATGGTTTAATTTTTTATGATTCTTTAATATTGTTAAAATAAAATAAGAGGGAAATATTGACATCAAGACTATAGTTGAGGAGCAATTTGTAAATTAAAGGATTTAGAGAACCCTACATATTAAATAGACTCCAAAAGAGGGACGCTTTTAGGTTTTCTTCGTACTGTCCAACAAAAAACCCTACTTTAATCTTTTCCAAAACGCGTAAAGTGCTAAGTCGTGAAAGCGTTTCTAATGGCGATCTCTCTGCACAATCACGGATTTGAGTAGCCGTTGGAATTTTGCTCTTTCGGTCTCCCTCTCACTCACTCGGTCACTTCTTCCCTCCATTTTTGGGCTACAGAGTAAATCTCTAAAAGCTGGTCAATTTTCTCGTTGATCTTGTCATTTTCAATTTTTCTGGGCTTTGTGAGATCCTTATTAGCTGTTGGCAGAGCTTGGATACGCTGAAGCTAGTCCGTGTTGCCTTGGCGTAACAATATATTTTGACTTTTTGAGATATATTTTGTTTTATAAAATTGGTTGATGTTGTGTCTGAATTTTGAGGGCGTGATGCTAAAATGAGAATTAATCTTCTTTAAATAGCTTATTTTGCTGATGTAATTGCAGATTTTCCAAGAATTGTTAAATATAATTTCCGTGACCCTTAAGTTGTTGGACTATGTATTTTCATAAAGTTATCGTCTTGCTGATTTTTATGGTTCCTTCAGCGTTTTCTATTTTCATTTTGTGTATTTGATGGATGGAGAGAACATGTTTGGTTTAGTTACTCTAATTTCTTAATCTTCTCAAGGCATAGATATCGACTGGACCTACTATTTGAATGTGGAGATGTCACGATTTAGATTTTGTGTCATATCTATGTTTCTTGGGAATTTTTATGGCGCGTGTATTAGTTTGAGTTGTTATTTCTGTTAGGGTTCTCACATAAAAAAGAAAGGAAGATTCGACATCAAATGAGTAGTAACTGTTGCTGAGAAAGCTTACCAAGAAAAAAGCACTATTAGGTGGAATCAGAACTCATGTGTTCTCAAAATCTTAAAGAGATGCTTAAGTTGCTAGTTACTGATATGAATAGAATGGTAAAACAATTGTAGGCGGTATATATTCTCATAAGTACCCCTTTTACCTCGAGGATAGACAAAAAGTGGCCTAGTAAAATTTGTAGGCAAGGAATGGCTAATGATGACCTTACACAGGATTAAATAATAACTTTGTTTTCCGAATTATTCTAGTTGTACAACTAGGGTTGACAACGTACTTACAGGAGGAGGGACCCACGATTTTTTTATTCAGCGTGGACCCTCCCAACACGTGTGTGGTTGTCAATCATAGTTGTACATGTAGTATAAATGTTTGTTTTCATCCTTCACTAATCTTTGATACTAAGGATTGGATGGCCTAAATGTATGGGGTGCACTATGGTGGATTAGAAGTTCTTTTACCATCCAGTTCAAACTGTTGAAATCCAGAGGGAAAACTTAAATATCACAAGATTGATCTTTTTATATTATTGCAGAATTTTGTACAGTCATTGTCCTGACCATTATCCCTACCAATTAAAGTTTCTCGGCTAAGATTCAGATTTCTCTCTGTTTTTCTTATGTGTAAATATGTCCAGAAGGGACATTTTTTCGTTCTTTTATTCTTTGGATTTAATCTTTTTCTTTTTTTTTTTTTTTTTTTTTTTTTTTTTTTTTCTTTTTTTTTTTTCCCCTTGTTTGGGTGTACAGATATTCCTAAATAAACCATGGATTTATATAAAAATTGACTCCAAGTAAGTCATATTATAATGAGGTGGACTTTTACGGTGTATGTAGTTGGTGGTTGTGGGGTGCATGATGGGAAGATAGATTGCTTTACTAGATGGAAAAATTTTAAATGCTCATGTCTATATATCCATTAGGAATTTTCTTCTAGTTATGAAATTTAACATCATCTCTATACTGATATAATTATAAAGGTAGGAGGTTAAAGTGAAATTTGGCACTGAGTAGATAAGTTAATTGTACTCTTTAAGGAAGTGAAATTATTTCGATACATTTAAACTCTGAAAGGAAGTCATTCAATTTTTACACAGGGGAAGTAATTTTGTTTTGTTTTCGATAAAAGTCTCTTTTACATGGGTATACCTTTTCATACACATTTGTTAATAACCTTTTTCAGGTATTGGGTAAAGATGAATGCTGGACTGGGTCACACATTGCATCCTGGACCCATTGACGATTCTGTACTTACTTTACAGGACCATCACAGATCTACTGCAATATGGAATGGTCAGGACTTTGAGCCTCTGACATGTAGGAGGTGTGATGGCCACTTCTGGCGTCTGGGTGCTTTGGACCCTCAGGTACAGCAACTCATGCTGCAAGCAGGTTTTTATGGGGTGTACAAGGCAGGCCGTATACGCCTAGATCATGCTTTAATAACAGCATTAGTTGAGAGATGGCGCCCAGAAACACATACTTTCCATTTGCCAGTTGGTGAGGCCACTGTCACCTTACAGGATATTTCTGTGTTGTGGGGCCTACCTGTAGATGGTGATCCTATCACTGGTGTCGATACAAATCGGTCTATGGAGGAGTGGCAGGATATATGTAATGAACTTTTAGGATTCAAACCACCTCCGGAGGATTTTGATCGTGGCCGTCTTAAGATCCGATGCTTACAGGAGAGATTTAAGACATTACCAGAAGGTGCATCGAAGGATACAATGCAGTTTTATGCTAGAGCATACATTTTGCAGCTTCTTGGGGGGCAGTTATTGTCAGACATGTCCAATAATAAGGTGAAGCTGATGTACTTGCCCCTGCTTAGGGATTTTGAGGCTGCTGGCAGGCTAAGCTGGGGTAGTGCTGTGCTCTCTTGTCTTTACCGTGCTTTGTGCCGAGCAACCAAGCCTGAGACATCAGATATATGCGGGCCACTGGTACTTTTGCAGGTATTACAAATCATTTAATCTCGCTGAGATGTCTTCGTTACATCTTTGGCACCTTTTATGTCTGAGTAGAAACTTTAATAATATGAGATTTTTTGTCTGCGTGAATATCATTAAGATCTGGGCGTGGGAGAGAGTGCCTTTCATCCGTCCTGGGAGGTTAGCACCCCGACAGCAGCCACCACCTGATGTAGTTGCTGGACAGCATCCTTTGCCTGCTGCCCCTTATGGTTCCAGGTATACTTGCGATGCAGAAAAAACTTGCAATCGAAATTGCCCACACCACATTGGCTTTTTAACATATAAACATTTTCATAGGTGGAATGTCGGCTTCAAGTTGGAGAGTGTGGGAACACATGTTTTAGTCTTGTACAGAGATCAACTAGATAATATGAAGGATGACCAGGTGCCTTTTCATTTTATTTCTAATGGCAAGTAGCAGCAGTATTGCATTAATTCACGGACTAGCATTTAAAATTTACTTTCTGTTTTAGTTTGTATGGGAGCCATACCCCAATGATGTATTAGGCAGCCTTCCTCAGTATTGCATATCAGGAAAAAGAATTTGGCAGACAGTGTCTCCTCTCATCTGCTTTGATGTGGTGGAGTTCCACCATCCTGACCGTGTACTACGTCAGTTTGGGCAACAACAAACTATCCCTGCTATTTGTGATACTATCCCAGACATCCATTTGACTGATCGTCGTGGAAGACAAAATTATGACTGGGCCCATCATCACAGGCAGTTTGTTGATATGTGGATAGACCGGTCCGCTCGAATTATTTCTACACCTCCCATTGATGGTCCAATGGATCAGAGTGATCCGTACATGATGTGGTACCGACGCATTACCCGTCTTTTGATTGGAAATCCTGCTACTCGTTCAAATACTGGATATCAGGGAGTTGGAGGTGTTATGGAGTCGATGGTATGACACTTCATTTGATCTTTCTGCTTGTTTTCATACTTGGATCTTTGACTTGCTAATATATTGCAGGCCCAAAGCTTACAAAGAATATACCATCGTGCCAGTGACGCTATGTACCAAAGCCATGAGGTCTCAGGGCATGATGTTCTCAGAGAGATCCAGGATATATGTGCATATTCATTGAGGGCAGCTCACGAGGACCACCGTCTCACTGTACGTCCCGATGCGAACCTAACAGCTGCATCCCCAACTATTCTACCTAAGGTACAGAGAGGTAGACCAAAGAAGAGAGGTGGGTTTGGAGGAGGATCAGCTAGTGAGAGCCGAAAAAGACTTTCCCACTTACCCAGTACACCGTCCACTTCAATGGCAGAGTATCATTCTCCTTCGCAGTCAAATGTTCTTCCTGCACATAGTGAACTTCCGGATACGCCGCAGACATGGGATTCTTCGCTAAATTCATCCGATTACCATGATACTATGGATCCAAACATGATGCAGTTGAATTCGGAATTTACTGGTATGGTTGCTATCCTGTCCTAAGCTAACTTTTCTGCACTACAGCCATCAAATGGTCTGACATTAATTTCATTTCTCATATTCTTAGCACCAGATAGTTTGAAGCAAGAGGCTACATCACTATCATTGGATTTTGCAGAAAACCCCATCTTACAGGCCCTTGGGAAGATTCATGACATTTGTGCATTTGCTTTGCGAATGACTAACGGGAATCAGTCGTCACCATCGGCACAGACTGCCATCCCAGTAGATCCTAAGACAAAGCGATGTAAGCCAAGGAGGAGAGGTGGAATAAGTGGCCGACCAGTGGGTGCAGGAAGTGGCTTAGGCTCGTATTTCCCATCTACACTAGGACCATCATCACTAACACCATCTTCTTCATTGGGACCAAATACTTCACGACCACATGAAATTCTGGATCAGGATTTCGAGCCTTTTGCTACGTCACTCATGGGGGACTCCCCCCTGCCAGAATTACAAGACACCATGCAATCAGAGATGATAGAGTTGGATGCCATAACTGGAAGTAGAGAAGCTTCACCGTCTGCTGCTAACCTATCAACGTCAGAGCCACCATTCTATCCCCAAGGTGATCAGAGTTCAGTTCCGCACTTGACCAACATGACACCCAATTTTTTGAGGGAGGATACTGCACCAGTACCAGTGAATTCTTCTCATACTGCACAGGTGGATGTCAGACAAGTAGAGAACGCAGATGAAGGCATTGAAGTCTCGCCACCCACACCTGACCCTCCAGTATTGGAGCCACAACATGTTCAGACTCCACAACAATCAGACCCTAAACCTGAAATGCTTGATGATACTCCATCCACCACTCAAGGCGATTCTGTGGTCTCTCAGCCTTCTCCGGGAGAGCATAAAATGTCACCTGTGCATTCAGACTCTGATAAGGTGGCGATACAGGTTGATGGACCAGGCACTTATTCCAAGCCTGACCCTCCTGTATTGAAGCCACATTGTACTGAAACACCTGTGCCATCAGACTCCACCAACCCTGCAAACAAAGATGTAAGCGTCCCCACTCTGCAGGGTGATCTGAGTATTCCCAAGCCTTCTTCACCGAAGCATCCAATCTCATCTGTGCGTTCAGGTGCTGAAGCTATGCAGGTTGATACACCAGATACTGATTCTGTACAAGGTGATGGTGGCAAAAGGAAAGAACGGCCCTCAGACCATGTTACTTCAGTAGATTCAAGTCATACAAATGACGCCGTGCTAATTTCAGGTGATCTTGTTAATGTAAATTCTGATGGCAAATCATTAGCCAAGCCTCTGAATGAGGGAGAGGCGAAGCTCACTCAGGCAGATCCAGCATCAGTGACAGAAGATGGCCAGAAGAAATACAAGAGACAAAGGCGAGTTCCGTCAAAACTAAGATAGGGACTGGCTTAGCACAGTTTTTACCGTATTTGGTGATTGGTAGTGATTTAATAAACTTAATACTGTTTCTCCCATAAAACATCGTGTATTGATTATCCTGTTTTAATGAATGATTTTAGTTGTTTTTAATAGTCTGTAAATCTATATGTGATTCCCAACGAGCTTAATGATTCTCCAAAGTTGAAAATTATTATGAATTATAATCACTGATACCCAAAAAAAAAAGGGTAATTACAGAAAAGACACCTCAACCGCTAACGACAATCCCTTCTGGTGCTCTTTGATTAGACATCATGTGATCGTAAAGGGTGAGATACATGGGAAAATTTCTGGGATAGTGGGATTGATTGAAAAAAAAAAAAAAATGCCACTAATCTTAATCTAGTTATAATAAAATTAATTAAATTGTAACGTTGTTTCAATAAAGAATTTCTGTTCAAATTTCTAGTTTGGACAAAACAATAAAAATAATAATTACAAGAAATTTGTGGGGATGTCTTCTTAGGAAAAAATGCATAATTGATCCCCGAACTTATTGCTCCAATAGTAGGTTGGTCTCGGACTTTTAAAAAAGAATAACATTAGTCTTTGGAAACGAAAATTGTCTAACTCTTCATTGAATTATTACGTGTCACTCACATTTCACAAAAATCTATCTCGTTTCGAAAATTTATAAAAATGTTGGATGTTTGATTATAACTAGAAAATATAATAAGAATTAAACTCTGTACAATCATAGTAAAATGTTGCAGAACTTTTGATATTGGACAAATAGGTAGGGACCTGTACTGCAATTTTACATCCATTTAAAAGTAAAATAAATAATTAAGCCCCTGTTTGGCCTCATTACGTGAAAAAATTAATAGGTGGAATAGTATTTGTTTGAAAAATAAGTGATTGAAAAAGAAGAAAAAGTTTCGATTTACGTGTAATATTATTTTATGAAAGATTGTGTGGTTGAAAATAGGAGAGAGAAAAATGAATTGTAATGTAATGTAATAAAAATTAATGGGGCTCAAACGGGGCTAATTGTACTATAATAATAAAATTCATAGTTTACTCTGAAAAGTAAAATAAATAATTCATTGTACAATAATAATAAAATTCATAGTTTACTCTGAAAATAAAGACTTTAATTTGAATTTTACAAGAATACATTCTCTTTTTTGACTTTTAGTTAGCGCAGTTATCGGTTTATTTTAGAATTAGTAGTTAATTATAGGAATTAACTTCTTAAACACACGCCAAATCAAGAAAATTCTGCAGAAAAAAAAGAAGTGAAAATGGTATCTTTACAGTGACGGCAGGTAAACAGCTAAAAACTTAGAATTAATCAACCAAAGAAGTCGTCTTTCCTTAACATGTTGTTAATATGATATGATTTTTATATTAATCTTTTTCTGTTTATGTGGCCATTTGTGAAAGATCTATGAAAAGATAATGGCTTCTTTCTAAAGGTAGTCTGGGGGTGAAAAAGAAAAAGGGAGAAACGAGGCCCATATTTTCTGAGGGTCACAGTTCACAGCCCTCTTGTCTGAACATTCATAATTCACCCCTTTCTCCCAAAGATTTTCTACCGATGAATCTGGGTTTGAACCTATAGATACAGGGAATTGTTGACTTTAGAGAAGAACAAAGAAAATGGTGTTCATTACTGAAGATAACATCAAGCAGTTCAGAACTATGATGGAAAAAAGTCCGCTTTCTAACAATCCTTTTTTTTTTTTTTTTTTAGTATTTTTTCGATCTCTGGATCTGGGAAGCACTGATATGTTGCTAATTGTCATTGCAGCTGATGAACCACTAAAGAAGACTTTCCAGGTTCAGCATCGTTGCTGATCTGTTTTGTGCTAATTGATTTTCTTGAAGTTAAATTTGATCTGGGCTCTGCTTACTTATTTTGTTTGTTAATTCATTTGTTTAGTGTCTAAATTTCGGGAAATTGGATATTGGGATAATCAATGTCAAGTTAAAGAAATTACCTATTAACTCAGATTTGAGTTTTTTGGAGAATGTGACAAAAAATTTCATAAATTGTTTCTTGTTTAGTCAGGTCGAAGTTTAACTGATGTACAAACTTGGACATGGTGTGTGTGTGTGTGTGTGGTGTTTGGTGGGGGTGGGGGGGGGGGGAATTCTTGATTTTCTGAGAGATTCAAAGTTGGAATT